TGAAGGATGCAGGCACAGCTTCACAGCAGGCACCAGTAACCACCAGCAGTTAGGAGGAGCGAGGGGGATGTTTTCACAACTGTAAAAACCACAAACCAACCACCCAGGAAACCTTCACAGACTGTTCTTGAGGGTGTTTGCTGAGGCTTAGAAGTAGCAAAGAGTTTGCAAATGCTCCTCTTCTGAACCAGAGAACTGCTGAGGAGCCAGCCGCCCAACACCTTCCTCACCCCCACACACAGACATGTACCTGCAGGAGCTGCCCAGGACTGGAGCTGGCAGCCTCCTGCCATGGACCTGCTTCCAGTTGGCAGCAGTGTCATTCAGTGGTACCACTCTTCTCAAGCAGATTGGTGACAAAGAAGCTTCAGGAAGTCACTTCTGGCTTGGTCTGGTGAAAGTCTCTGGATGTGCCTTCTGAGCTGATGGCTTTCTTTCTGCTTTGTTTTACATCTCCTGCCCAAAGTGTAGCCCTCTCACAGCAGGGCAGCTATTCCCTGGAGGCTGCCTTGCAGACTGCCCAGGGGCTCTGTCCCCAGGTGTGCCTTTCCTGTTCCACCCTTTCTAAACAACCTCCCCGAGGCAGCCTTTCTGCATATCAGAAACAGAACTGTGCTCACACCAGCCTCTGCCTGCCTCAGGGTTCCAGGGAGGCTGCACCCTCAGGCCCAGCAGAGGCCCAGGCTGTTCTTCTTCATCAGCCCTTTTACAGCGAGGGACCTCTGCTGGCTCTCTCTGTTCACTCCCGGACAGAACAGGGGTCTGCAAAATGGCTCCCCCTCAAGACTAAATTCCTCTGCCTAAGAGCATGAGGCCACAACAGCCAGACAAGAGGCACCTGGAGGAGAAGGCTGGCCCCCAGACCACCAGGGTTCAGCTCCTGCCATCTGACAGCACGGTGGTGAGCTATTCCATCCTCTTACTGTCCTGAGAATGTGGGCTTGCCTCGTCCTATTTGTCCTTATCAGGACATCAGGGTACCTGCTGGGCTGAAAAGCAGGGAAGACAAAGGTAAATGAGGTGCCAACTGGTCCAGCTTCTCTGGGATTTTATTTACTCAGGATCTAGAAAACCTTGGGCAAATGCACAGGCCATTCTCAACAGTCTGTTTCATTGAGGATAAGAGACATCATATTGCCTTTTGCTCAGCTTAACAGCCCACCCACACTGAGCTCTGTCCTGTGCCTCTTCTCCCAGACAGGCTGATAAAACTGGAGCTCTGCTGCTCTGAGGGCACACTGCTGCATTGCTGCCATCTTCCAAGGGCCATCATGTAACAGCCGTGCAGTGTCACTGCCTGCTGACAGGCACCGGCCCCTTCGCATCCTCTCCTTTGCATTGCTTGCTTGTTTTCCTTCTTATTCCGAGAAGCAGCTTTATGCCATTTTCAGCCCCTGATTCTTCAGGAACAAATGCCAAACTGAAAGCGAATACTTGGGAATGTTGTCCTGGAGGTATTGACAGAAACACTTTCCATCATTTCATTTACTGAGAAAAACACCCTTGAAAACACACCACTGCGGAAAGCTTTTCTTGTCTTTGGCACCTCTGGGACTTCCAGCGTCTTCTTGGGGCGAGACCTTCACCGGGACCCGCCCCACTTCTCACTTGTGACCAAAGCACACAAATAGAGTGTAGAAAGCAGAGGAAGCGGCCGCTGCTGTCCGGCGTGAGGGAGCTGCCCATACTTCAAAGCCCTGCACAGGCAGGAAGAGCTGCGGGGCAACGCCGAGTGTGGGGCGAGGAAATGGCGGGGCTGATGGGACGTGAAAGCTGCGAGCGTGTCAAAGGCAGGACGGAAGTGTTGTAGGGGGGCAGCCCTATTTTTAGCCACCTCTTGCAGAACTTTGCTAGCACTTGCTGTAGAAGAGCTTCTTCCCTTTTCCTTGATGTAAGCGGAGCCCATGGCGTTTGGGTCTGTTTTTATTTGGCCACTCACGCAATTGCACTGACTGAAAGGTCCCTTGAACACTGCTGACTCAAAAACACCCGTGGTCACAGAATCCTTGACAAGGAGAACAGAAAGCATCTGGCACTTCCCTGTCCCCATTTCAGGACTGTGAGAGGTAGAACCCAAAGCTGAGGCTGCAGAGCGTGACTCTTAGTCATATCAACAGGGGATTTTGCAATTGGTGGGTGCGGGGTGTGAGGCAGGCAGTCTGCAAGCAAATCTGAAGTGCTTTGCAAAGCATTGGAGTGGGGTTCCTCTGCTGCCAGGCCTGCACAGCAGAGTGCAGCCCTTACTCCCTGCTGCCCTGCATGGGCTGCTCCACTTGGGTGCAAGTTTAGCACAAGTGAGCAGGCAGCACATGGTGAGCAGTGTGTGGCCATGGCTGCCCTGCATCTGCCTCCTGTTAACGTTAGCAGCAACTAACTTCTCTGCAAGGCAGAGTCCAGAATGGATCCCACTGAGTTTGGCCCAGCTTGGCTGGTGCCATTTAGCTCAGGGACAGGATGGAAGAATGGGGTTGAGACTCATAGAGCCAGCATCTCATTCCTACAGTGGATAACGGATTACCTATCTGTAGAGCTCATTCTTAAGCTGGATTGATTAAGGCAGAATTTGCAATTGTTGAATGAGAGATGACAGAATCATAGAATAGCTTAGGTTGGAGGGGATGTTAAAGATCATCCAGTTCCAGCCCCCTGCCGTGGGCAGGGATGTGGATGGAGAAGTGCTTTGTACTGTGACAATTTTATTTAGAAGCCAGAACTCCTTCGTAAGGAGGTAGTGGGAGGAGGAGGTTATTAACAATGCCACTCCTGTCCGAAGGAATGTGCTGGAAAGTTGCTTCGGCCTCTAGATGGCACCCCTATTATTCACACGTCAGAAAACTGAAAAAGCAGAAACGTCTTCCTTCTCAAAGCTGGACTTACAGGCAGGCCTAAAACTTCAGGAGCTCGGACCAAAACCTGCGGGCAGTCGAGATTACAGTGGGACCCATCTGGGTTTGTTTTTTCCCGTCGCCTTGCCCAAAAGGCGGAGTAAGGACTTGCTCCCCTCTGGGCTCTGTACTGGGTAATGGGCCGGGAGCTGCCACTGGGAACTCGTGCCGGCGTTCCTGAAGCCGTCTGGAAAGCGAGGCGGAGCTGCGGTGCTCTGCCCAGGGATGCGCCTCGCCCCGGGTGCCGGCGGCTCTGCTGGGAGCAGGAGGTCCGGGCTGTGCTGCTGTGTGTGACCCGTGGGATGTGGGGTGGCCAACCTCCACAGAACCAGAGCAGTGCTTTGCCAGAGCTATTTGTATACTAAATTGCTGTATTGTTTCAATTAAAAAAAAACGCAGCCAGGCATTTAATGGCTCCCATCTGCAGCCACTCTGGGTAATTCACTTCCCACTTCAAGGTTTGAAGTCTTCTTTTCTCTTTTAATCGCAGGGACAAAAAGGGAGAGTTAATGTCCCTCATGTTGATAGATCTATCTTCATGCTCTCTACTTTAAATGAGGTTAACCAGGCTTTTGAGGGAGAAGAGTCATAAATATTTCCTTGTGTGAGCAGAGATGCTGGCCAGGGAATCATGGGAATCCATCTCAGCCAGCTATTAACAGGCTGTTAACAGACTGTCTTTCTAATTGACTTAAATGTAACTTAGTTGACCCCATTTCAATATTTCCTGAGAACTCATAGTCTTTACTTTTTCCATCTGGTAATATCCTGGGAGCTAACTGCCATATTCAAAGAGGGAGCTGAGGGAACCAGATTCCAAAGGTGCTGGTGCCCCAGGGGCAAGGCTTGGAGCTTACACGTCTGACCTGCACTGAAATCCAAAGCAGTCAGGACCGCTGCCTTTTTGAAATCCCACTGGGCCCCCTCTGGCATCTTTAATACCTCAATACTTACAGTACCTCTCCTAGTGGAATGTGTGTGCACACAGAAGGCAGACGACATCCATAGGGTACAGAAGTGTGGCATTCTTTTTAACTGATAGTTCAGGGATGGTTCACAATACAAGAAGGATGTCCTCTTGGGGCACCTAGTGAATAGCTGTCCTGCAAGCTGGACGTTCACCCAGTGTTCATGCACTGAGCTGCAGCAGCTCGCAGCAGGTTGGCTCACCCGGTCAGAAGCAAACTGCTCAGACTGTGGGCAGCTGTCAGGTCAAGGAGCTGTCAGAGGAGCAGTACAGCCTTCCTGCTACTGAGAAAGAGCAGAAAGGAGAATAAATGTTTAAGAAAAGGGGGAAACAGCTCTTAAAATAGTTGTTAGGTTGGATTTTGTGTGTGTGTGATTTTTTGGGGGAAGGAGCGGAGGCTGGGTTGATTTTTTTATGGTTTAATAAAGTAGAAGAAAATTTATAAGAAATTTATGTTCTGATTTGAATCCTACTGATGCTCATGGGAATCCCTTTAGTGAATATTGGACCCAGTCCAAGAAAAGCAGGCTATTATTCCCCTCACTTCTATTTATCCATAGCTGTGTCCTTCTGCTTGCAATCTTGTTAGAGTTTGCCAGTAGATTTAGTCTGAGCCTCATCAGCGGGGAACCTGGATAAGAAACTATGGTCAGCTGCCTCTCAGCTCTGAGCCAGTCTTCCTGAAAGAGTGACAGTAACTTTGGATGTCATGACGGCGTGACACGCAGCTGCAACCTTGACCTGGTAGGATCTCCTACAGTCAGACCCAGCACAGGGGTATGTGACTTTTCTTTCTCTGTCATGCACTAGCCTGCTCTGCCAGCTGGATGATTTAAGCACACCAAAACCAGAACAGCTCAATAAAATGGTTTCTGCGTGAACAGTTCAATGAAAATATCTGTGATTGGTTGTGGTAGAAAATGCAAATTAAAAACCCTTTCGGATATACAAAAGAAAGACCAGAAAATCACCCTGTGTTGCCAGGACCAGAACAAAGGCAGGCACTTGGAAGCTGTTCCCTGGAGGTGTTCGAGGAATGTGTAGTTGTGGTACTAAGGAAGATGGTTTAGTGGGCAACATTGGTAATAGGTGGACAGTTGGACTGGATGATCTTAGTGATCTTTTCCAGCCTTTATGATTCTATGATTCTAAGCAACCTGGGCAGCTGGCTATGAGGAAGCAGGTTCCAGCCCTGTCTCTGCCAAAGAGTTTCTGGCTGCTCTCTTTAGTGTGTAGTTGCTAAACCTGTGCACCTGCCATGGAGGAGGTCAATGAGAAATCCTGGCTCTTGTTTCAGTGCCCTAGGGACATGGGAATGCTTTTGGGGAGTTTTGTACTTGCATCACTTGCATCTGCGCTGTCCTTGGTAAATGTGTTTGAGTTCCAAGAGGTTAGAGTCAGGAGTACTTGTGCTGCTTGGAAGGACATTTCCTACATGGAACAGTCAGTGAGCTTGGGCTTGAAGCCTGAGCTTTGAGTTATCCACTCACAAGTCTATCAGCGCTTGGGAATTCTGACTGAAGTTATGTCAAAGGTAAGTCCACACATATTAAAAGGTTAGAAATATGATTTTGGGATAACTCACTGGCCTCTGCCTCTTCTCCCATCCTACCTCTCTGCTCTGTTACTATGATGAGGATTTCATGGGACCTCTGAGGAGCAGCGTGGACTAAACTTGTTCTTGGGGACATGGGCTTGTGACTTGAGCAGCAGAGTGGCTATGGTGCTCCTGGTGAGGAGGGATTAGCCCTCACACAGCCCGTCAGCTGTCTGTCCTTCCGTGCTGTTGGTCTGCTGTAGGAGGTGCAGTGTGGGAGCACATTGGGTGTGAACACAGAGGTTTCTGCTGAGGCAGAATCAAGTGGTGTGACCCCGAAAAAGGGAACAGGAGCTGCAACTTCCACCTTTGTGGGCTAAGAGGAACGACCACCCCTGAGGTCCCAGGAAGCTGCAGGCTGCTCCAGACCCACCCTTATGTGGAAAGGAACACACCCTTGCCTCTGTCTGCATGTGGCTACAGGTTCTTTGCTGCAGCCCAGCCCTCCTGCTGATGTGTGGCCTTTGGGTGGTGCGACACAGGGCTGCTGGGGAGAGGGCTGTCTGTGGTGGGCTTCCTTCTTACCTTACTGCCATGTGCTGCTCCTACAGCTGGAAACCCAGCGCTGCCTCGTGTCCCCAAAATAAAGATTTTGTCCTACAGTTTCATGACTGTAATTGTTAAGCAGCTCTGTTGTAAGCTTCCCACTATCTGCCTCAAGCAGCTCATCTCTGCGGTTCCTCCCATGCTAATCTCTGTGATCTGTGGCATGCATACAGCACTGGCTGGAACAGTCCCTCCCCTCTGCTGCACCGTATTTGCCAGAACAGGCATAACTCCAGATAACCGGATTTGAAACAATCAGAGCAGGAAGCGGCAATAACTGGCCTGGAGGGAAGGCGGGGAGTTGCCCATAGACAGTTTTTTAGAAGGGTGCCCAATCTGCGATATCTGATCTCTTTCCATGCTCCTTTAGCCCAGGTACAAAGGCAGGATGTAAAGCTTGCAGGAGTCATTTTCATCCTCTCTCCTTGGCTTCTGACTGAGTTCAGATCTGCACCATCTCTTTCTTACTTCAGCGCTGTGTGTGTGGTGACACGCATACTGACCTATGTGTGCACATGAGGAAGACCTCCAGAGCTGCGTCTGCTTCAGACGTGGCACTGATGTCACCCCACGGATGTTGCCTCGCTGTGGACAACGCAGTGGATCAAAGTTGGTGTTATTTCTTCTGTGGAGCACGGGGACCTCAAGGATGGCTCTGGTGCAGCTGGCGCTCCCACGGCGGGCAACCACAGCCCGTGCCAGCCCTCTGCCCAACGTGCCTTCATACCGCGGGGGTCAGATTGGGCCGAGGCAGGTCCTAGGTGAGTGCTCCCACTGCTGAGCCTGCAGCTTGGTCACCAGCACCCTCCAGCCAGCCACATAAACATCACCCACCGGGCTCTGCTGCCCATCCCCTGCTCCCCCAGCCAAGGGTCACGAGCTGCAGCCAGCAGTCGGCTGACAAACGCGGCCGTGGCTCTGTGCAGCCAGCCTGCGAGAGGTCGTCACACGCCTCCTTAAGCAAACAGGGATCCACGCCAGTTGATAAATCATTTACGAGGAGAAGTCAGAAGCAAGGAACTAGATTAACCAGGTCACTGGGTGTCCTGAGGGAATGACGTGTCAGTGGAGCTGAAACAGCAGATCCCGCAGTTGCAATATGTTGCCTTCTTCTGTCCTGACAGCAATTCATGGAAATCCCTGGAACTAGACACTAGTGATGGAAAAATCCATTAGCTCATCCAAGTCAGCTTGCTAGTTAAAGCAGTCACTCCCATTGTGCATTTTTTGGCAGAGTTAAAATGTCTCAAGAGAGGGGATTTCCACCAGTTCCTTCTCAAGGGGAAACTATTCCACCTATCGGGAAAGCTGCCTCCAGTGGTGCTATTTTTGTAAAAGAGAAGTAACTCCAAGCCCGAAAGGGAAAACAGAAAGGTTCTGATGCAGAAACACAGACAGCAGTAGTTAGCTTTCCCTAGCAGACATGTGCCATGCACAGCACATCTGCAATGGGAACACCAGGGGCCCACGTGTGTTTATATACATCCACCTAGGTGTGTTTGTGTGTATGCACAGCCTGCCTCTCCTTCTTCAGGCAGATTATGACCTTGTGCCTCCCTGGATAATCGACGTGTCGTATCGTGATCTCACAACCAGTTTACACTTATGTAATGCCACTGGCATCAAGGCGAAAAAAACTGCTAAATTGCTTTGAGGAGGGGACAGATGCGTGAAAAAAGAAAGGCATCAGCTGATGCTGCTCCTCTGGCACACGCTTCCTGTCTGCATGGGGACATGGCATGTCCCTTAGGGGCCTCAGTTCCCCAGCTGTGTGCCAGGCACAGCGACCACCCTCCTGGGGTCTTGTGGCTGAATGCAACCACTGGCAGCACCCTGCCTGCAGCAGTTGGGAAGGTGCTGCAGCGCAGAGATATGTTGATGAGGCTTGTCAGCAGAGGCTATGGAGATTTTGGCAAACAGGATTTCAGCACCTGGGAAGCACTGTGGGACAGTGGAGAAATAAATGAGCTGTGTGATTGTGATGGCATTTAAGGCCTTATCATTAGTTTCAGAGCAAGTTCTGCATTCAGATGAATGGGTGTAGCACTCATTGCTGAGCTAGAACCTGTAGAGATAGGGAGGATTGCTCTGTGCTCCCATTCAGAAAGCTCTCAGCCAGCAGAGCTGTAACTTGCAGTCCTGGTGCCTCAGCTCAGGAGCAGGGCTCTGCAGCTAGGGTAGATACAATGGCTATATTAGCAGCAAACAAACCCCACATTATCAAGGGCCCTGATTACCAGTGTGATGGGGTGTTGGCTATATGCCTCTTATGAGAAGAAGGCGGGGTACTGCCTGGGTGTTTGCCCTGGATTCTCAATTAGTTGTTTTATGTACCTCTCAAAACCTCACTGCTGGCACTGCTGCCTTCTCCTTCTAGGAGACCTGACATTCAGGCACCATGTTTTGCACAGATTTGTCAGCCACATACCCATCAGTTACGTTGAGGCTGCTCTTGTGAGCACCCTCTGCATGTTATTGCAGGGTGGCTCGTGAATTCTATGCCGTGCAACCCTGGCTTTGGGATGGGTGTGCTGCTTTGCAGGGCTCTACTTTGTTTAGCACAAGCCACATTGAAGCACAAATGACATCTGTGAGGACTGACATGGTGTGGAAAGGGACCTAATCAAAAAAGCACGGGTCAAATCCTGGGCCTTGGCTGGGTCCCTTTAATTGCTGTAAAGTCTGAGTGCCAGTTGACCTACTGAGCCCCTTGCCCCTTGCACCGTGCAGGGATAAGAGCAGGTAAAGCCCGGTAACAGTTTAACTATGAGATTAACTCTGCCAGTGCCACTATTGAGGGCCCTCTGTTTCTCCAGACAAAAGGTGCTGACTCCAGGCTCCCCAGCACGTTGGCCCATGTTCTCCATCTCCTTCACCCACACCCTGCAGTTCCAGCCTGACCCTCGGCGAAGGCAGGGAACCTCGGCTCTGTAGCCTTAGGTGCTACTGCCTGAAAGACGGCCAGAGAAAGAGCCATCTTCCTCTCCATTCCACTACATCTACAAGGTCCCAGTGCTCTGCAGAACCACACACCAAGGTAGGATGAGATGCAGGGAGGCCTGTGAACAGTCCAGGTGCTCGGTTGTCTATCCTTCATGCTCCTAAGCACCACTGAAACCCTGGTTTCTCATGCTTTGAATTTCATGGGTGTTTGGCTGTGCAGGACCAGGCTCCTGAACTGTCCCAAAGCCCACAGATGACAAAGAGGTTCCTTCTTTGGGCTTCACTGTGGCAGTGAATGGTTTTGCAGCTGGCTAGGCAAGAGGCAGCTAGGTGCAAGCTTAATGAGGATGACCTGCCTCAAAGGTTTCATTTAGAAGAAGAAAGTACCAAGTGTTTTACTTAAAAATGAACAGATGTGTAGAGCGAATTCTACCCTCCCCTCGGGTATGGTGAATCTGATCACAGCGCATCCTGCCCAGACCTGAGAACAGACAGACAGACAGACCTGTGTCACAAAGTGGAACAGACTGATGTGAACTCACCCGCACCAAGCTGGGGACGAGTGAAACCATGCTCGTGCAGACAGCATGGAAAGCAAGCAGAGGTGATAAGGAGCGGGGGTGTTAGTTGTTGTTCTTGATTCTGCGTGGGAGAGAGGAGCAATATTGATGAAGACTGTAAACAGCAATAGGTGTCACCCAGTAATGGCAACATACAGCCCTGAATGTACAGCTGCCATTAGGCACCGAGTGCCTCTCTGCTGAACTCTCGCACCAAGGGCAGCTTGGCTTCCAACAAGCGCCCAGCACTCCCAAGAGGCAGCACCCCCTGAGAACCGGGCTGCAGTCCTGATGACCGTGTGCTGTGAGAGCCGTCTGCACCAGTGAGACAAATACTTTCCTTTCACTGCTTCACAGAACTACGTTTCTCTTAGTTACTTGCACCGAGTGTGTGGGGCTGCACTAATGCAGGCCTGGCTGAGAAGGGGAAACAGGAATAGGGATGGAGACAGAGACAGGGCCAGGGCCAGCCCTGCCCAGCACGCAGATCGAGGCAGGTCCTCACAGTGCAGTGGAGCTGACCGACACCCCGGTGCAGTGTGTGTGTACCGTGTGATGTGGTTGAGCAGCACACAGTCATGTTCAGCTGCCTGCCCTGTTATTGTGAGCAGCCTTGTGCTAGTTTCAGGCGTAATAACATCGTGACATAACAGCACACCATGCTGTGATGACACCAGCACACGGAGTAAGCCACGGTGATCTGATCTCATTCTGTACATGCTGAGATGCACACTGATGGCTCCCAGGATATGTGGGCGGCAGGTGGATGGGGCTGGCACGTCCCAGCACCAGGTGGGAACATGACTCCTGGCAATGTCAGGGCTGGGAGCTCGGCTCTGCAGCTCCAGCTCTGCCTCAACTGCGGCCGATGAGTCACTGCACCTCTCTGTGCTCACTTCTTCCATCTGTGGAAAGGTGACAATAACATTTCCTCACCTTACAGGGGGTGGGAGGTGTGTGCAAGGATGAATGAATGTTTACAAAGCACCTCTGAGCAGCACAGGCTGGTTGGACTGTGACTGGGAGGAACCAGCGCTCGCTCTCCACATTGCTCCTTCCTCCAGGCGAGGTGTCCTCAAGTAAACACTTCCCTCAGAGTCAACAGTCTTCAATGAGCACAAATGAGATAATTCCTCAGGAGAGAAACAGTGAAGAGTCAGCGCGCTGCCAGTAATTTCAATAAATTCTGTCACAGGAACAGCGGAGTAACCTTTACAAGAGAAAAAAAGAATAAAGTAGAAAAACAAATGAGCTGCGACCAAATTTTTTTTTGTTAAGTGGTACCATGGTCTTAGGTTTCACTTCCCAAATGGGAAACAGAACAGAGAAGTGAATCGCCTTGAAATAAAAGTGAAGTTAATAACGGGACGCCTGTAGCTGCTCACCACATCCTGTGTACGCTGATCGCTCTGTTTATAGCTGGCACGAGCCCTTCTAGACTCTTCTCTACCAAGTGAGCCGGTTGCTGAACCCAGCTGCGTTTCATCAGCGTGCAGAGGAGCACTGCCTGCCACAGCCATGCTGCCGTCAGCACGCCCAGCTCAGCCCTGCGTGGGCTGCATGCTCCATGACACCCTGCGACCGCTGTTCACGTGCTCAGCGTTGTGCACACGCACACACGTGTGTGCACACTCTTCCTAGTCTAGCAAGCACACACACAGGGGCGCTTTGCTTTTTCTGGTAGTTAAGAGAGATGGAAAAACGAGCCCTGCCCACGTACACTTCAGGGACTGCACACAGCACAGCTCTGAGGCTGACATCCCACCACACCGCTCTGTTGCTGCAGCAGCCCTCCCTCCTCTCACAGAATACCTCCAGGGACGGGGCATCCGCAACCTCTCTGGGCAGCTTGTCCCAGCACCTCACCACTCTCATAATAAAGAATTTCCTGCTGACATCCAACCTAAATCTTCCCTCCCTCAACTTAAAACCATTTCCCCTTGTCCTACAGTTATCAACCCTTTGAAAGAGTTGATTCCCCTCTTCTTTGTAGGCTTCCTTTAGGTATTGAAAGGCTGCAGTGAGGTCACACCACAGCCTTCTTTTCTCCAGGCTGAACAAGCCCAGCTCCCTCAGCCTTCATAGGGGAGGCTCCAGTACCCTGATCATCTTCGTGGCTCTCCTCTGGACCCTCTCCAACAGCTCCCTGTCTTGTACTGGGGGCTCCAGACCTGGACACAGTACTCCAGAACTTCCTGGAGTACCCCAGTACTTCCTTCCACTGTACCCCAGTACTTCCTGGGAGAAGCTTTGCGCTGCTTCAGGAAGCAAGGCTCAGACTGACATGTTCCTTCACTTTCCTGGTACATTAATAGACTTGCTCTTTTGAGTAGTTTCACTGAGGATGGTTTTGCCATCCACTGGCCCCACACCTGCTCCTCAAAGGGTTTTCACCATTTCAGCAGCACTTAAAAATTCTCTTCTGCGTTTTGCAGCAGCTGCATTTACAACAGACACAGTCACATCTACCACAGCGTGAATTTGTGGGTTTTCGATCCATCAGTGACATTAGAAGTGACAGACTGAGCCATGTGGACTTGGGAAGAGCCCACATCCCATCCCTGCACTAAGGTTAGCCAGCTTCAGCTGCAACGAGTGGGTACAGCTTCTCAGCTCCCAGAGCCGAGATGCACACACTGAGGGGCAGCACAAGTGGGAGTCAGAAGCCACTGGTTATTTTTCTTATTCTTATTATTATTATGTCTAAAAATGGAGAAACATTAATCATCTCTGTAGGCCCAGAGATAGCGAGTCTGTACATAGAGAAGCTACAGCCAAAAGCAAAGAAGCACAGGTTGTGCACGTGCTGTTGGTGCTGAGTGGAACAGTCAAGGCAGACACAAAGATCCTCACCCGCTAAGAAATGCCAGTGCTACTTCTGCTTCACAGGGAAAGCCAGGTAGCCATCTGGGGGCCACAGCTCCTGCTGCTGGCAGGGCTGTCCAGCTAGACTGCCACGTGCAGCAGAGCTCAGAGAGAAAACTTGATCAGCTTTGCTCTCCAAGCCCCAGAAGGTGGTCCTGGGCTTTTGAGGAAGCGAGACTAAGCAGATCCATGGGCTGGGATTTTGACATTCCCAAGTAGCACTAGGCAGCCAACATGCTCGACTTTCCAGGACAGCTAATCCCAAACATTTGAGAGCTGGGTTCCAAAATACTGTCAGTCGCCTAAACAATATAATTTAAAAATTTAGAAAATCAGTAGCATTGGATTCTGTGCTTGTTTATCTTCAGACTCTTCAGTCTTTGGGCTCAACACTCTAGAATTTTCAGGTTTGTCTCTGCAATAACCAGCAAGAAAAGCATACTTTTCTTAGCTGAACACTGAGATTCTCCTGTAATCACATGATTTACAGAGCGGAAACATAAAGAAGAAAAAAGTAGCAACAAGCATGAGCAGTGGCCTTTCTTTGCCCCCACCAGTGGCTAGTGATCGATGTTTCGTGTTTGTGCACCACACCTTATCCCATGACAGAAGGCAAAGATTTCAGAGAGGAAGCATCCTGCTGTCGATCCCCAAGGCCACCAGGGCTTAGCAATGTCCAGGAAACTCTGCCATGCAGCTGGGTATCATTGGGTCCCATCTCCAGCCAGCTCTCAAAAGCAGCTCACGCACCGGGCCCAATTTCTCTGTTCTCATGAAGAGCACGATCTGCTTTTCTTTGCTGGCAGTTAGCCCGGGCCTTGATTCCTCCACCTCAGCTCTCCCGCTCCATGCACAAGTTTCCACCCCAGTGCAGCGCTGGCAGCTCCAAACATGTGACAGGCACCATCAGCAAGCTGTCCCCTCCCTGCTCCCTCCACAGGGCTGTGGGACATCTCCCCCTCTCCCACTTGTCTGCAAAGCTTGGAAAAGCTTGTACACTCTGCCTTTCTGCAGGAAGGGCTCAGATGCCTCTTCTCTGTGTCACCTCTCAGCGTTTCGTCCTCAGACTTCATTCTCTGAAGCTGTGTGGTTCTCTACTGACTGCATAAAAGGGAACAAAGGCTTGGTAGCATGTAGGTCATTCTAGTAAATTATTTACAAATGCACTCCCCTTCCGTTTCTTGTTGCATGGGGCTCGTGCAACCACACCCCGCCAGGATCTGCACCTGTCCCAGCAGAGCCATTCCTGCGCTGCGATGGCCGGACACCCACACTGGGTAAGCTTCAGGGATGCAGCCTGGGCCTCGCCTGTTGGTGCTGGGGGCTGGAGACACAGGGCAGCTGCAACCAGCCCTACCAAAACCGGCTCGCAGCCGGGGCAGGCACGCCACTCTGGTGGGCTGGCAGCTGGGCCAGGCTTGGTCCAGGCGTGAGCTCATTGGCAGATCCCATCCCATTTCCGTTCGCCCACTCTGCCTTTGGTGGGCTTTCAAACGGACCCAGCAGGGCTGTTCTCAGGAAGCTGCTTTAGGCCCTGCTGCTACGGCCCTTCAATGCAGGCACACAGGGACTGCAACGTGCAGCCGGGCTATACGGTGACAGATTCATCCTGCTGATCTGGGGTCCTGACCTTTTTTGAGCAAGGCTTGAGCAATCAGTGCCGTGCCACGGTTGACCCCTACAAGATAACTTCTAATTCAGAGCAAGAGGCTTGCCCAGTTTGTTCTGAAACGGTTTGCACTGGCACTTGTGTAAGCTGAACTTTCTCCGTCATTGTGGTTTGATTTCCTAGTTTAGTTAGAAGCTTCTGGAGCGCCTCCCAGCCCTGCCCAGCCATGCTTGAAGTTACAATAAATAATGCTCTGCCGGCAGCTAATATTGTTGCCTCATTATCCCTCTTCCCTGTCTCTGTTTTTGACACCCCATTCCAAGAGCTGCCTCCGCCCCTCCACACGCGGCCCCACCGGCCCCCTCTGCAGGCTTTCTTTACCCTGCTGGCCATTTCCTTCTAATGGATTTTCTCCTTCCTATCAGCTCTGACCCACTTTTTAATCCATGACGGGACTTTTCATCCCACGGTTGCCAAGTTTATTTCACTCTTGGAAAGGTCTTTATCAAAAACCCTTTTGAAAGGCTGTATTTACTCTGCTCCCTACTTCTTCCTGATCAGCCTTTTTTAGAAGCTCAAAGAAGTCAACTGACTAGAGGGGCATGATTTAGCTTCACAAAAAGCTGCCTTCACTTATTATCACCGTATCCTTCCCACTTACTTTGGATGCTGCTTGTGCTCAGCAGTTTTGTTTCTCCCTTTACTGTTTTGCTCCCTCCAGAGCAGAGGTCAGCCCCAGGGCAGTGCAGTTTTGGAACATGCCCTCACTCCGGCTCCAGACCCCACTGCTTATACATGTCTCAGCTCACAGCCGCTCCCTTCCCCCATCTGCGGACTGGGCTGGTGTGGCCCCTGTTTTCCTAGAAGCCCCAGCTCAGCCTTTTTCTAAAAATGCAGCTGCTCCCTGGTGGGACCAGGAGCAAGGAAGCAGCAGAAAGGCTGGCAATAGGGATGAGGGATGCTGGACTCATGGCTGAGCCACCACACTTTGTGTTTCCTTGGGGAAAAGGCTCAGGTACGTCCAGGGGCTGCCGGGGCTGAGCGAGAGGTGTCCTGCACCGGCTGCAGGGACCGCAACAGGAATGTCACCGCTGCCTTCCAGAGGAGCAGAGCTGGGCGAGCATGTAATGTCTCCAAAATCCAAGGTCAAATGTATAAATTTACCATATCTAACACCTCCCTGAAATCCAAACAGACTCAATTACGTTCTCTCCCATTCTCTTAATGAATCAGTAATTATATTGAAGAACACTATTATTTGTTTGGCATGACCTATATAAACCCGACTTGTGGAGTGCATAGTTGGTGCGGTGCCAACACTCTGTGCCCTGTGTATTATTACCTTATAAACATCACCATTGTTTGAATTTCAGATCAAAACAAACCGAGCCGTGGTGCTTGTCAGTTATTAGATATCTTTTTCCCAAATGCTCACCCAGACCGTATTACAATAACAATAATTATTATTACATACTTCCTTATTATATGTTTGTGCAGAGGTAGCACATTTGCCTTTTTCCCACACATTAGCAGCTTCTCCCGACTCTTATGATTCATTCCTGCCTATTTCCCAACGTCCACGAGCACTCTGTGCACTCCCAGCTGCATTTTGTCAGGACTTGCAGCTTTTCGCAGAGTCTCCATCCCACATCGCACAGGGGTTGGGATGCTGGGCTTTGCTATGCCAAGGAATACACAGACACGTAGCAAGGCATGGACCCTGCCCCTGCAGCTTTATAAATATTTAACTCGGCCCGATGAGGCGATAGGGGCT